ACATTAGAGATAACACTACGGGTAGAATGACCAGGAGTCCCTCTCCACTCTAAACGAGGCAAACCCGGTAAGGCTAAGGTCATAGTCTTGGCATGACAGTCCAAGATAGCGTGGTAAGGTGATAACCAGTCCATCCCCAATATAACATCAAAATCAACCATGTCCAGAATAAGCAAATCTACACGAGTCTCAAAACCTCCAATCACCACTATATATGAACAATGGACACGATCCACCACAATAGAATCACCCACCGGTGTAGACACATAAATAGGGACACTCAAAGAATCACTAGGCATGATCGGATACGGCGCAAAATAAAATCGAAGCTTCTCTACCACAAACCAGAACAGTACCTACACCTCCACCTCTAATACCTTTACCTCCACCTCTAGCATCTCTACCTCCACCTCTAATACCTCTACCTCCACCTCTAATACCTCTACCTCCACCTCTAGCTAACTGAGCGGGCTGGACGAGTCCCTCAATGAACCTCCTCACTCTCTCTCACGGTGGGAAGTATGATAAGAGCATGACGAGCTAAGTCGATGAATCTGATCTCGTACTGAGTAACAGTCATAGAACCTTGCTGGGGACGCTCAAACTGTCTCCGATAGACCTCTCTCTGAGTGATGGGGTGAAACTTCTCCAGAAATAGCTGCGTGAACTGTTCTCAAGTCAAAGCTGATCACCACACTGGTCTATCCAAACAATAATATCTCCAACAAGTCTTGGCGGATCCAGACAAGCGAAAAGTAGCGAAACCGACCCCATTGGTCTCCACGATTCCCATGTTCCTGAGAACCTCATGACAACTGTCTAGATAATCTTGGGGATCCTCAGAAGATGCACCGCTGAAAGTAGTAGTGAAGAGCTTGGTGAAACTTACCCAACCTCCACAAGGCCTCCGAAGACGTAGCTGATCTATCATCAGTCTGTGCTGCTGCTTGACTGAAGAAGCGGTACATGACCTCGCCATTCGCAAAAGGACAAGAGTAGAGGTTTCAATTTAGCATTGCGAGAACAAAATTGCACAACAGGGAAGAATAGAAGTGAAACTTTTCCTAGCTTTGTAGCCTCTGGGGGATAAATATAGACGTCTCCGTTCCGATCCCTCAGACTCTACTAAGCTTGTCTGTGAACTGTGAGACCCATGTAACCTAGAGTTCTGATACCAACTTGTCACGACCCGGATTCCCACCCTCGGGAGTCATGATGGCGCCTACTAATACGAGCTAGGCAAGCCAATTAATTGCACAATTTACCTTTTTACCCATTTTATATTCATTAACAATTTTGAAATAATAACATTTAAACAGCGGAATTTAACATAAGCGGAAGAAGGAAACAATAAGATATCTGAACATGAGTATCTAATACAACTGTTTGAGTCTTGACTACCCAGAACTGGTGTCACAGTTTCACAGACGGTTTAAGAATACTATAAATAAAGGTCTGAAAGAATTAAATATAACACTGTCTCTGGAAATGTATGAAAGAAACAGGAATAGTAAATAGAAGGAGACGCCAAGGCCTGCGGACGCCTGTAGGACTACCTCGGGTCGCCTGATCAACAAGAATCAGCAATCCCACTGCGGTCCGAAGTCTACAACACCGGGGTCTGCACAAAAGAGTGTAGACTGTAGTATCAGAACAACCGAACCCATATGCTGGTAAGTGCCTAGACTAACCTCGATGAAGTAGTGACGAGGCTAGGACCAGACTACCAAATAAACCTGTGCAGTTCAAATATATATAGCAGAAAAGAAATACGGAAATAAACAAGTAAAGATGGGAGGGGGAAACATGCTTCGGGGAAAAACGGGTAAAAACAGAATATCAATAGAATGTAAAGGAATCAAAGTCCAACCACTAACAAGAATAAAGAAAAACAAAGGCAGATTTCACTTTCTTTTCATATCTTGCTGCAGGCATGCAACCCGATCCCATTTCCTGTATCTCGTGGCAGGCGTGCCACCCGCTCCCATTTCCTTATATCTTGTTGTGGCGTGCAACCCGATCCACATATAATATTTTTGCGGCGTGCAACCTGATCCATATATAATATTGTTGCGACGTGCAACCCGATCCTTATAAATATTGTTGCGACGTGCAACCTGATCCATATATAATATTGTTGCGGCGTGCAACCCGATCCATATATATTATTTACAATTACAACGAGAGTCCCGACAAGGGATAAAAAAGGTCTACACTATTCCGACAAGGGGTTCGACAGCATAAGTAAATACGTCCTGACAAGGGAGAAACAGCTATAACCAAACTTGTTCCAACATTTAACTGCCTCAGCTATAACCAAACTTGTTACAATACCTAACTACCTCAGCTATACCCAAACTTGTTACAACACCTAACTACCTCAGCTATACCCAAACTTGTTACAACACCTAACTACCTCAGCAATAACCATAATCCTTACCTAACACAAAGAATCATCAACCTAAGTATCCGTAATATCAATTAAGAACACAATGCAAGGGAACCACAACTCAACAATAGCCCGGCAAGGGGGCAACATAATGATCTCTTCTCTTTCTCACTTTTACTTCACAATTCACTTCACAACTCGAGCCACTGCTCTAGAGGTTCAATTATCACTTATACTTTCACAATTCGTTATACAACTGGAGCCAACGCTCCTCAACGTTCATAGGTCACAATTCTTTTCACAATTTTGCACAACAAATAGAAATTTTCACCAAGGCACGAATAATACAACGAAGTCATAAAAATCACAATATAAGACCCAGGGTCATGCTCGACACCATCGTATAGATACTCGTCACCATGCCTATACGTCGTACTCAACAAGAAAACAAATAGCAAATAGGACACACTCCTAATCCCTCAGGTTAAGGTTAGACCAAACACTTACCTCGAACTTCCACGGCCAACTGAAGCCTCAAACACCGCCTTTCCGTTCGAACTCGGCTCCAAATCAATTGTATCTAGACATAATCGGCTTAATAACATCAATAAACGCCAAACAATCAAATTCCAATGCTTAATTATAACTTTCCAATCATTCTTTCCAAAAACCCTAAAATCGACTCCGGGCCCGCTTGGTCAAAACACGAGGTTCGGACCAAAACCCGATCACCCATTCACCCATGAGCCCGAATATATAATTTATTTTGAAATCCGACCCCAAAATGAGGTCAAATTACCAAATAATCAAAAAGCCCTAACTCTACCCAATTCCCCAATTTTCTACCATTAAAACCCTAGGATTATTAATATAAGTTGATGAAAAACATGAGATAGTTGAAAGAAATCAGTTAATGAATACTTACTTGTGATTTGGGAAGAAAATCTCTTGAGAAAATCACCCTAGTTCTTCTATTTTTGCGAAAGCTTTAAAGAAAATTTGCTGAAGTTATGTTTTAAAAGAATCACTGCCCGACTTCCGCATCTGTGGTGCATGGGTCACACCTGCGAGACCGCATGTACGGATAAGTGACCGCTTCTACGGAAATGGCTAGGCCCCGCTGGGGCCGCATCTACGAGAAAAGGGCCCTCTCCTGCGGAACCGCATCTGCGGAAGATTTTCCGCATCTGCAAGACTCGACCGCACCTGCGACCCACTGTGCTCACCTGCGTGTCCGCATCTGCGGCCAAAGAACCGCAGGTGCGGCTACACCAGAACTGGTACAACAACAGTGTTTTCCTAAGTTTAAACACCTCGGAACCTACCCGAAACTCACCCGAGCCCTCGGGGCTCCAAACCAAACATGGGTACTAACTCAAAAACATCATATGAACTTATCCGTGCGATCAAATCGCCAAAATAACATCATAACCATCGAATTAAACCTCAAAATCAATGAAATATTTCAAAACTTCTTAAACATCAACTTTTGCATTTAAGGCTCGAATCACGTCAAATGGATTCCGTTTCTTACCAAACTTCACAAAATTATCTTAAATCATATATAAGACCTGTACCGGCGCCGGAACCAAAATACGGGCCCGATACCAACATGTTCTAATCAAATTTCATTTCCAAATCCTTTAAACAATTTCAGAAAATAATTTTCTTTAAAAATTCATTTCTCGGGCTTGGGACCTCGGAATTCGATTCCGGGCATACGCCCAAGTCCCATATTTTCCTACGGACCCTCCGGGACCGTCACATCACGGGTCCGGGTCTGTTTACCCAAAACGTTGACCGAAGTCAAATTAATTCATTTTATAGTCGAAATTTTTCGTTTTTCACAGATTTTCTCATTTAAGATTTTCGACTACACGCCCGGACTGCGCATGCAAATCGAGGTGAAGATAAAAGAGAATTTTAAGGCCTCGAAACACAAAATTCAATTTAAAGGCAAGTGATGACCTTTTGGGTCATCACAGCAATGCACGTACACTAAAGCTAGTATATTTTAAATTTGCGAGCGTTGGTATGTCGAGTTGTCGGCTTGCCTAGTATTATGATAGGCGTCATCACAACAGGTTGAGTTTTGGGTCGTAACAAAAATCTTGAGATGAATACATGAAGATATTAGACGGAAAAATATAAAATACCATCGAAGGGCTTTGAAGTGCCACCTTCATTTGAATGGAATTCTAAATGAGTGCAATTACTAGGCGTTTGGACATAAAAATATGAGATTCGGAAAAAAGTATGATAAGTTAAAAAAAATGTATTTAAGATTGTAATTGTATTTGGTCATCCATTTCATTTGATAAAATGTTACATTTCATTTGATAAAATGTTACAGTTTTGTGAGAGAAAATTTTGTTCAAACTAGAAATTCATCTTTAAAAATTCAAACAAATGTATAGCCTGTTAGGCAAGGCTGAATTAATCAAAACTGAAAATCAGGGATTGTATCCCTGAATATACTCTCCTCCATAAGAATATAACTTGTACTATTACGTGATTATGGGCATTAGAATAGGACTTGTATTATGTAATTACAGGCCAACCATATATGATTGTATAGCCGGTGGCGGATGCAGCATAGAACTACCGGGTTCAACTGAACCCAGTACTTACTTAATTTAAGTGTAAAAAATTCCTAAAATTGCAATAAATAGCAGTATGGTCGCATAACTTTAAATGCTGAACCCATAAAACTAAAATCCTAGATCCGCTAGCTATATATTTATGTATGTGTAACACACTGGAAAGGAAAGAAAAGACAGAAAACTTAAAAGTCTTTGTCTATCACGGTATAGAGCCGCGGTCTAGTATTGTTTTATAGTCGTGCTCTCTGTTCGGGTCAAAAGGTATTCCACTACCTTCATGTTAGTGTAAACAATGTACTATACTATCTTTTGCTGGTTGTATTTCGTGGTGCTCAAGCTTGACAGATTCCAATTCATCATTATATGATCTAGTCTCTACAAAATTTGATGGTTCTAATTTTGCTCTCTAGGAATTTCAATTCGGGATTTTTGTAGAACGCAAGGGTCTTTTTAGGATGCTGAATGGATCCGTTCCTAAGCCTGATGATGCAAAGGAACGAGTTCAGTGGAAGTTGAACAATGCTAAGGTCCATGGGCGAAGCTACATGTTATAAAGGGTTGTTGGAAAATTACACTGAATTTCAGAGGTATATAATATATATTAAACACTCTTTCTCGGAGAATTTTTTTCACGTCTTTAAAGTTTGAACACCTTTGAGTAAATTCCTGGCTTCGCCACTGCTAAGGTCATTGCATGGATGCTCAATTCAGGCATCACCATGGGCCTTCGACCACTTTGTCTTGCGTTTGAGATGTGGAGCCATCTACGTACTATATACTGTTGGACTTTAAAGCATTGGGCTTCAAAGACTTTAAGCATTGGGCTTTAAAGTCTAAGAGTGTGAATTGGAAATGGTGGAAAATAAAATGGAGGGAAATGAAAATTTGAATAAAGTGAGCTTTTGTCTTGAACTTTGTCCCTCATTGGTGAGGGACAACTACATTTGTGTGTATATATATAGAATCACTTCTTAAAGCTCTTAAAAGGAGTTGAAGAGGATGAACCCTCGCGCCGCGTCGCTCGCTCGCTCGGCTCGGCTTTGGATTTGGATTTGTCAAATGATCGATAAGATTATTTTTGGACAAGGCCACTCTGGCCGTGGTCCTGGCGTAACCGCGGCAGGACGCGCAAACTTCTGAACAGACACCTTTTCCAGAACAAACATCACACCTCTTCCAATAATTGCCTATAAATTCTGAGGCATGGCTTCATTTTTAACACACTGAAAAAAATTACGAAACTTCCTTCTTTCTGAAAGTATTGCATTCTAATTCGCAGTCTCTCTCTCTCAAATTTGTAAGTGTGATTTTGCTCCGTTTTTTGAGTTCGTTCGTATCCTGCAGTTTGTATTGCCACTATTGCAGGAAGGTTTTTTCCATTTCATCCTGGGAGGATTTAATCCATTACCTTGGCAACGTGTGAGGGGGTTAAAATTTCTTAAGGACGCACAAGCAAATTGTGGACTCGGAATATTTCTTATTCTTTACTGTTTTCCAGTTTCTTTTATTCTTCTAACAGTTCTTTTGATTTTGTGTTTTAACACAGTAGCGGATTACAAGCTTAAGGAATTTTATACTAACGTTTCTGTGTTGAAATATATATTAAACTGTTATTTATATTTTGTATACTGGTTTGGAGACTAAAGCCTTCGTGCTTTCTACTCCAATAATTGTTCTATCCGGTTTAAAGTATATCAAAACTTTACCGTAATAATAAACGTACGGGTTTGAAGTATATAAAAACTTCACCATTGTTACGTGTTGTATGTTTGGTTTGGTATTGAATTTGAAGATATCAAAACTTCACTGATTTAACAAAATTCTGTTTTGTTTCCAACTTTACAGAAAAAATGACGAATGAAAACCAAACTAATGGAAATGTTGCGGGAACGGGTGCTACTGTTACGAATGTTGCTGCCTCGTCAAGCCGTTCAACTCCTGCTCATGCTATGGCACCAGCAGAAAATTGAAGGAGTTGGCAAGATTGCGTTGAAGATGACGTCAGGAAAAATAGTGACTCTAAACCAAGTTCTCCATATTCCAGAAATTCGCAAGAATCTTGTGTCTACCTCACTTCTTGTCAAGAATGGATTCAAATGTATTTTTGTTTCTAATAGTGTTGTACTATGTAAGAATGATATGTATGTAGCAAAAGGTTACCTGAGTGAGGGCATTTCTAAGCTAAATGTAATAGCAGTTCCTATCAATAAAGTTAATGTTTCTTCTTACTTACTTGAGTCAAACACTTTATGGCATTCACGCTTAGGTCATGTCAACTTCAAAATATTGCGAAAAATGATAAATTTAGAAGTATTGCCAAAATTTGATTGCATTAATTCCAAATGTCAAATATGTGTAGAATCAAAGTATGCTAAGCATCCTTATAAGTCCGTTGAAAGGAATTCAAGTCCTTTAGACTTAATTCACACAGATATTTGCGACATGAAGTCAACACCATCTCGCGGTGGGAAAAAGTAATTTACTACTTTTATTGACGATGGCACGAGATATTGCTATGTTTATTTACTTAATAGTAAAGATGAGGCAATTGATGCTTTCAAGCAATACAAGAGTGAAGTTGAAATACAACTAAACAAAAAAATCAAAATGATAAGAAGTGATAGGGGTGGCGAATATGAATCTCCTTTTGAAGAAGTATGTTTGGAAAATGGCATTATTCACCAAACAACTGCCCCTTACTCTCCACAATCTAATGGAATTGTGGAGAGAAAGAATCGAACATTGAAAGAGATGATGAATGCGTTGTTGATAAGTTCAGGTTTACCACAGAACTTGTGGGGGAAGCTATACTTACAGCTAACCGAATAATCAACCGTGTACCTCATAGTAAAACACAGTCCATTCCCTATGAAAAATGGAAAGGAAGGAAGCCCAACTTGAAATACTTCAAAGTGTGGGGGTGTTTAGCTAAGGTACAAGTTCCTAAACCTAAAAGGGTTAAGATAGGTCCAAAAACGGTTGATTGTGTATTTTTTGGATATGTAACCATTAGCAAGGCATATCGTTTTCTGGTTCATAAGTCAGAAAAACCTGAGATTCACGTTAATATGATAATAGAATCAGATAATGCTGAATTCTTTGAAACTATTTATCCGTATAAAAAGGAAAGTGAAGTGACCTACCAAAAGTCAAAATGACCTCGGGAGGAAATAACAGATGGTATGCCTAATGAGGAAAATCCGAGAAGAAGTAAACGTCAACGGACATCTACTTCATTCGGTCCAGATTTTCTTACTTTCCTGCTAGAAAATGAGCCTCGTACCTTCAAGGAAGCAATGTCTTCCTCAGAAGCACAATATTGGAAAGAAGCTGTCAATAGTGAAATAGAATCCATATTGAGCAACCATACCTGGGAATTGGTTGATCTTCCTCCAGTTAACAAAACATTAGGTTCTAAATGGATTTTCAAGAAGAAAATGAAAGACGCTGGTACTATTGACAAATACAAGGCAAGACTTGTTGTCAAAGGATTTAGACAGCGAGAAGGTCTTGACTATTTTGACACATACTCGCTGGTAACAAGAATTACATCCATTCGGATGCTAATAGCGTTAGCCGCCTTGTATGGTCTTCAAATCCATCAAATGGATGTAAAAACACCCTTCTTAAATGGTGATCTAGAGGAAGAAATTTACATGAACCAACCCGAAGGGTTCGTGGTTCCGGGAAAAGAAAAGAAGGTGTGTCTTGTTAAGTCTCTTTATGGACTAAAACAAGCACCCAAGCAATGGCATGCGAAATTTGACCAAACAATGTTGTCAAATGGCTTTAAGATTAATGAATGTGATAAATGTGTTTACATTAAGAACGTTCCAAATCATATAGTCATTGTTTGCTTATATGTTGATGATATGCTAATAATGAGCAAAGACATTGCCGACATTTAAGCTACTAAGCGTATGCTTGCTAGTAAGTTTGATATGAAAGATTTAGGAGTTGCCGATGTAATTCTAGGAATTAAAATCCAGAGGACTCCTCAGGGTCTAGCTTTGTCTCAATCACATTACGTGAAAATGGTACTTGTAAAATCAAACACTTGAAATTTAGAAGTGCAAGAACTCCAATTGACTTAAATCATCATCTTATAAAGAATAAAGGTGAAAGTACGTCTCAATTGGAGTATGCTCGTGTATTGTGAAGCTTAATGTACATCATGTACTGTACACGACCTGATATAGCTTGTGCAATAAGTAAACTTAGTCGATTCACAAGTAATCCCAACAAACATCACTGGGTGGCAGTGAAACGAGTTCTGGGATATTTGGAATATACCCAAGACAATGCTTTGCACTACAATAAATATCCTGCGGTTATCGAAGGATATAGTGATGCAAATTGGATAACCGGCTCAACAGAAACAAAGTCCACAAGTGGATATGTTTTTACTGTTGGTGGAGGAGCAGTATCTTGGAAGTCTTCCAAATAGACGTGCATTGCTCGCTCTACAATGGAATCAGAGTTTATAGCTTTGGATAAAGCCGGTGAAGAAGCTGAATGGCTTCAAAATTTCTTAGAAGACGTTCCGTTCTGGCCAAAACCTTTGGCTCCTATTTGCATACGTTGCGATAGTGAGGCTGCAATAGGACGGGCAGGGAGCGTTATGTATAACGGAAAGTCTCGTCATATACGACGAAGACATAACACCGTTAGGCAACTACTTTCTAGTGGAATTATCACTATTGATTATGTAAGATCAAAGGATAATGTGGCGGATCCGCTTACAAAAGGCTTAACTAGAGAGGGAGTTGAGAAATCATCTAAGGGAATGGGACTATGGCCGAGGACAAGTCAACATGGCGGTAACTCTACCTAGAATTTTGGATGTTCCGAGATCTAGGTTCAAGGAGCTCAAACAAAGTTGTGATTGACCGGTTCAACATTGTCAAAGTAAAATCTTTGGTCCCTTCTCGTGATGAAGACAATGTTCAGTAACAAGGATAGAACTTTACATGTTCTTTAATGATTACCTAAGTTTGATGTGGTATTTATCAAATAGTGTCAATCTAAAGGATTACACGTTTAGGAATCACCTATGTAAGTGTGAAGTGGAAGCCGCTTCAATGAGAATTCTGTAAGGCCAATTCTCTACGCACTTATGAAACCAGGCGGTGTTCATGGCTGAAACGAACACAACAATGCGAACCAAAAGATGGTTAAGGGTTGGTTGTGTGACATATGGTTGTCTAGGTATACACTAAAGTTCGACGGTTCAAAGATATCAAATCTACCGATTGACTGAGTATATCCGACATATGTTCACTACGGAAAGTTCAAAGGGAAACCTACTTATCTAGATGCAATTAATCTTTACTTGCAAATCACACAGCGTTCATCTATGATCATTCTTGTTACAGCCATTCCCATTCATGTGGGGGATTGTTGGACTTTAAAGCATTGGGCTTCAAAGACTTTAAGCATTGGGCTTTAAAGTCTAAGAGTGTGAATTGGAAATGGTGGGAAATAAAATGGAGGGAAATGAAAATTTGAATGAAGTGAGCTTTTGTCATGAACTTTGTCCCTCATTGGTGAGGGACAACTACATTTGTGTGTATATATATAGAATCGCTTCTTAAAGCTCTTAAAAGGAGTTGAAGAGAATGAACCCTCGCACCGTCGTCGTCGCTCACTCGGCTCGGCTTCGGCTTTGGCTTTGGCTTTGGATTTGGATTTGGATTTGGATTTGGATTTGGATTTGTATTTGGATTTGGATTTGTCAAATGATCGATCGATAAGATTATTTTTGGACAAAATTTATTGAATTAATTATTTAATAATTAATTAAATGTCAGTTAGTTAGCCGCTGTCCGGGCGTGACCGCGGTAGGACCGCGCCAGAACACTGTTGCAGATTCAGAAGACCACTCTGGCTGCGGTCCTGGCGTAACCGCGGTAGGACCGCGGCAGGACGCGCAAACTTCTGAACAGACACCTTTTCCAGAACAAACATCACACCTATTCTAATAATTGCCTATAAATTCTGAGACATGGCTTTGTTTTTAACACACTGAAAAAAATTACGAAACTTCCTTCTTTCTGAAAGTACTGCATTCTAATTCGCAGTCTCTCTCTCTCAAATTTGTAAGTGTGATTTTGCTCCCTTTTTTGAGTTCATTGGTGTACTGCAGTTTGTATTGCCATTGTTGCAGGAAGGTTTATTCCGTTTCATCTTAGGAGGATTTAATCCATTACCTTGGCAACGTGTGAGGGGGTTAAAATTCCTTAAGGACGCACAAGCAAATTGTGGACTCGGAATATTTCTTATTCTTTACTGTTTTCCAGTTTCTTTTATTCTTCTAACAGTTTTTTTGATTTTGTGTTTTAACACAGTAGCGGATTACATATACCAGCAAAGTAATTCGGCTAGAATGTTGAAGTTGAACGAAACAGTGCCGAGTTTACTTAGGGTGAGAAGAATATCCTCGTTTTTACTCCGGTCATTAAGCGCTTTGGTCAGAACAAGATCAATTGTCAAGGACTACTCTACCGTTGCAGGGCTCGAGGAAATTTTGGTGTAACATCTGAAGTCAAGGATTATGCAATTCTTGATGAAACTCAGGCCTAAATTTGAGCCTGTTCGTGCAAGTTTATTGAACAAGGAAGTTTATGGGTTGGTTTTTTGATTCTGAGTTTGCCATGTGTCCCTCCGTCTAATTTAGGGGCAAATCAATATAATAGTATAACGGTAGGGTGTAATTAAAGGATACTCAAACAAATGGCATATTTAAACTATTTCGAATAGTACCTGAGTATATTTGGCCCTTTCACGTTTAATTTTTAACTCCTGAGTCATTTTCATAGCCATTAATTGTATCATTCATATACAAATTTTAAATTGTAACGACCCGGCCGGTCATTTTTAGAATTT